CTAAATCAGCTAATGTTGGTAGATATAATCCACATAAAGAAAAATTCTTTGTGAGGTGCCCTCAATTTTTTAAGGGTATAAAGAAGTTGAGACCAAAAAAAAAATAATTAGGACCACCAAGCTTCAGCGTCTAAGGGATACCTAGGGGCTTTGGAATCCCTGGGTGCCTGGGCTTTCCTGGTCTGATCATTGCCATACATTCTAGTCTCTGCCACTCTTTGTTCCCTAGGGTTTCCTGACCTCCTCAGGGATTTCTTTAAAGTCTACACTTTTGCTGCCTTCTGACATAGAATGTTATAGGCTACAGTATCTCTGGTCCATAACTGGTTGTTTTGGGAAGTTGGGCTTGTTTGCCAGATTGGTCATTGGCTTTGTTAGCACTTCTCTTTCCCACTGTCTACTGGCTTCTACATGACATCTTCTATGATTTGGGGATTGAAAAAAATTACTTCCTATAGTTTTTCATTGGGGTTTCTTGATCATTCATCCATCTGGTGTGAATTTCCTAGTGAATTTTCCTAGAGTAGGTATGTGCCAACTAGGAGGTCTACCTCTCCTTCAAACAGCTATCTTGGCTGCTATCTTTTCAAAATGCTTAAAATGGAGTTTTGAAATACAATTCAACACACATTTTAAAAGTATCCACCATGTGTAGAATATTGTCTGAAATTATTGGAGAGATACAAAGATTAGACACTGGTTTCTGCTTTCAAAAATCCAATATACTTAATAAGAACTCTAATACAAACTAGAGCAAAATAAAGAAGGCACAAATATTTGTCTTTGGCACAAAAAGAGGAATAGTTATTTCCCAGGGGGAGGAGAACTCTGTACACTAATGGATATAGCTCATAAGGAGAAAACGTGAATGAGCTAGGGTCACTTTTTACTTGGAAAATTGAAGGAAGAATAACTTAATAACAGTTTTAAACCATAACAAGGAGACAGGATGAGAAAGAAGTTGACTGGCCATATTCCAACTCTGCTGTGGTAAGGAAAAGTAAAAACAGGCTTTTATTGTAACTGAGATGTATGCTAGATGATAAGGAGGAATTTCTGATCACAAGGGAGATTGTGGAATCTCCAAAAATGGAGAACTCAAAAAATTGGAATAACATAGTATAAGCAGAGTTTTTCTTAGAGGCAAACCAATTAGCACCATGACCTTTCAAACCATCTATTCTCAAAACCTCTGAAACGTTACATTTTAATATTACTTTCCTGTTGACTCCAAGGATCAAATTAAACAGTAAATCTTTCTCTTTAAAAGGATGTTAATTTGTACATTGAAATTATGTGTTTCAATACCCCAATGAAGGTTATTGTGATTTGATAGTTCAAATGGGCTACTGTTTGGAATGAAGTTCTACCAAGCACTAATATGTATGTGAACACAATTTTTAAAAGCTGTTTATCTTCCACAGCTTAGTTGAACTCTGTTACCACACAGATTCTGACATCCTCTTTCTTCCTGCCCTTCCCAGGGTCTCCACTGGGCTATGAATATTTTCTTGAATTATTCATTTGATGTTCATCAGCCCACTAGACAACTTCTGGAAAGCAAGAATGTAAATGTTTCATTATACCTAATTACTCTCAAAAGTTTTTTTTTTTAAACAGGAAGGAAGCATGTCTGATGTTTTATAGTGCTTCAAATACAGCAAATTGTGAAGATGAGTTGTTGCTAAAATTCATCCTGAATCATTTCAGACACAAGGGTAACTGCATAAATGAAGGAGATTTAATTTCTTAAAAGAGCCTGAGTATCTTACTTACCATGACCATGAGGTAAGTAATTAATGTTCTGGTACTCTAAAATTTATATACGGACTTTGATCCCAATAAAAAGCCACAAGTTGTCAACAAATCAATTCTATTCAATTGCAACTCCCAAAATGCACCTTTTAAAAAGTGATTAATCCAGACAATATGCAAAAACTATAAAACCCTAAATCTTTCCTGAGCAGGGGGAGATTGCTTTTTGGAAAAGTACAACTGAATAATTTTTCATTTCTTTGACACTCAATTTAGACTGCATATTCAATCACATTTCAATTACCTCTGAATACCAAAAGCAAAGGCAATTTCTTTGTGAAGTGCAAAGAACTTTAAGAGTTTGCCTTGAACAAGACAAATTCAACAATTTAACAAATGTTTGTTAAGTGCTACCTATTGGCAAAACATTATGTTAGGTATTGGGACACAAAAACAAAACAAAACAAAACAAAAAAAGAAACAGTTTCTTCCTCCCAGAACTTACCATTTCATTGGGGCTAAGGTAGGGGATAACAACATTCACACAGACTACGTATAATGTAAGGTAAGGAATGATGGAAAAAACGGAAATATCACTGGGAAAAGGGATAAGAGAAGTAAGTAATCACCAAAAAAGTGTGTAGTTGAACTGAACCTTGAAGGAAGATATAGATTTTAAAAAAAAGAGATGAAGAGGAACTCTCACTCTCCAATATTAGGAATCATGGTAAATTCAGGTAATTCTTAGAGTAATGGAATCAGGAAAGAAGTGTTTAAGAATGATACATATCTGAAGAATTCTAAATTCAAGTGGGTGGTGGACTACATCTATAAAGACATTTTTCTTAGTTAATTGGCATCTCTTCTCATCACTCCCTGAATGGTAAGTCAACTGTAAAAACATCTTTCAAACTTCAAAGTTTAATTTGGAAACAACTTCTACAGAAGTCATTTACATGGTCCAGTTATTTTTTAACTTTCAGCTGTGATTGGGTAGTCATTACAATTGTACCTGAAGAATAACTTCACTTTTAAAAAAGGAAAGAAAGAAACAGATGTTGCAGAGAAGAGCACTTATCAAATGTTCTCCTTTCAAAAACCAGAATTCCCCAAAAGGAAAAAATGGTATGCATAACTTTTCAATGTTGGCTTAGGTTTTGTTATGGTCTCAGAGTTATTAGTCATTTCTTTTGACTTTCCAAATAAATGTTCTTCTGATTCATACAAGGTAATGGAATCAATTAACTTGAGAATTTAACAGATGGCTTACTACACATTTCTAAATAAGGTGCCCATGTCCATCACCCTTGAAGACAAGACAGAAGCTAACCAAATGTGACATCAGTTCAATAGCAGAGAGTAAGAAGGATTTTTTTACCTTAAATTTGGCTCTGCCATTTCTAATATGTCGCTATAAAAATAACTTGTGGCTACAGAATACACTTGTGGTAGCAACAAAGAAAATACTTCCTTGAAGAAAAAGAAAACAGGCCTGCCTGCTTGGTAATAAAATACAAGACTGCAATTGCCATCTACTTTTGCCACTCTAAGGAGGAGGTGCTGTGAGTTAGCACTGTATCCTGGGTGACTGGCAAAGGTGGTGGGTTTGAAAGCGCAATGGGAGTGGAAAGAGAGAACTGGCAACTCGTACAATGAGAAATTTTCCTTAAGTTATTGAAGGATTCAAGATAAATAAAAGGTAGTGAATAAGGCCAAAGTAAAAGGGGCTGGAAAGGAGAGATGGTTTGACAGAGCATCCTATAAAATTTAACTTATTTCCTAAGGATCCTAACATAGATAGATTATATTTTTGAAAGTCCCACGGGACTTTTGAAAAGGAGTTTTGAAAAGATTCTACTTTATTTGACTGATTCTATTAGAGCACTTTTTCTGGGTCCACCCTTTGAACTTGTACTTCTACCTCCGATTGGGGACCCACAAGGGTGATTTCTCCCCTCTGGGGATAAGTTTTTCCCTGAAAGGGGGAGAGAATAAGCATTTATATGGCATGTACTATGTGCCTGGCACTATGCTAAGTGCTTTACAAATATTATCTTATTTGATGCTCACAACAATACTGGGAAGTAGATGTGTTAATTGCCCTCATTTTGCAATTGAGGAAACTGAAGCAAACAGATTTAAATGACTTGCCCTGGGCCACACAGCTAGTAACTGTTTGTGCCTGAACTTGAACTCAGGTCCTGATATTCATTCAAAATTAGCTTAAAATACATATAACCTCTATTTCTTACACTCTTAGAACTTAATCAACCACTGGCTTAATAATTGGGTTGTCTTGTGAGGACAGGTGATTGTTGTTATGCATCACTCTGTACCACCATTTCTACCTCATTCAACCAAGAACTCAGTTGAACTCCACGGTAACTTTTCTATTAAGATCAACTGTACTAGACTGGTAACAAACAGGTATGAGTCTGCTTGGGCACTAAAACCAACTAGCCACATGACCTTGGCACATCACTTAACTATCCGATTCTTCAGGTTCTTCTTGTATAAAATGGGAAGTTTAGACTATATGATAGATGTCTATCAAACATTCTAATTTTAAATTCAATACTTCTATATGCCTCTTCACTACCATAACTTTAGTTAATAAGTGAATTTTCTTTAGACATACTTCTAGGACAAAGTATCACAACATAAATTAGGAAGCAAAATATTACACAACTCCTCATGAGCTCAGTAAAAGTTAGTGTACCTGGAGAAAGATCTAGATTTTCTTAAACATTCATTCTGGATTTTCATGATGATGGTAATTCTTCAAAGAGTAAATTGATTTACTTGGTTGTTTACTGCATAACTCTGTGCCCCCAGTAAGAAATTGGCAGTATTGGATGGAAAGTAAGGACAGGGCTGAAGCCAGGTTAGGGTCAGTACTGCTTTGTCTTGCCCGTAGAATATGGGGATACTACAGGAAAAGATATATACGAGGAAAATAAAGGCAAATTCAGTTCACTCTAACAAACGTTTAATAAGTGTTTACTATGTGAGATCCTCCATGTTTGGAGCTGGGTACAAAGACAAAGATGAAACAGCTCCTCCTCTTGAAGAATCTGGGTAAATTCTTGTTTCCCTTGGTGTAGAGCTAACGTGACATACATTTTCAAAGGCCATGGAGTTAAGAGTAAAAAAAATGGAGAAGTCTAAGGATTACACATAATTTTAAACTATTCAAAGATATGTTATAGGTCATCTATCTACTATCACCAAATGGCTTTACTTACCTGCCTGCTCCAAGGCAACCATTGTTGCCTGTTCTATTAAATCACGTTCGATGAAGCTCCTGAAGTCTTCACTGTATACACTGAGGTCTGGCAGTTGGAATGTGTAGATGGGCATTTCCAGGGGAAATTGTTCATTGCTGCATTCATTGGCCACATGGGATCGGGCAAGGGAGACTATGGCTGAGCTGGCGTGAGAAATACCTCTGGAAAGACGTTTTTCTAGGAAGAAAAAGAACAATGTTGCCTAAGTGGCTTGTAAATGCCAGTCCCAAACCACCATGTGTAGATTTGCTTATTTATATATAATATCCTCACCATCAAATATTGCCCCTTCTAGTCAATATATATCTTCCTCAAATTTTATTCAGGAAGCTGGGCTGAATAAACAACACTTTGCAAATAATACTTACTAATACTTACTTGATATATCAAGCTACTTAGATAATTGGTAAAAGTTTAATATAACAAATATTTATTAATATTCTAAAAGATAATCATTACTATCGTTCATTCTGAGCTCAAACTGTATCTAACAAAATTCAAACGAAATTCTGTGCACAACTATCATCTCATATCATTAAAATACATCAAAGAGATTTGGAATTTGTTTTTATCTTTAAAGCAGGTGGCGATCTATTTTGGATCTAACCATCGTGATTTCAATTTTAAGACAGATTCTTTTTATTTGTTCTGATAAACATGACATATATGGAAATATGCAGACCTCAAATACTGAAGCAGCCTTTGTGTTTTTTCCCCATCAATACTATATTTTGTCATAAAGTTCCTATAGGCCATGCCCTGCTTAGGAATAATAACTGTAATGTAGAATTTCTCTAAAGCAAAGGTTCTCAAACTTTTATGAGTGACATAAGTCTTTATATTACTTTAAATGTAACTCAACAGAACCCTTTCAATAAAATCATTTTTTAAAATGTTTAACCTGGGAAGTTTTATTTGGAGCAATTATTGCTATAAGGTCAGAAAAATACCTGTGAACCCCTTGTTATCATAATAACAATATAATAATAAATCTTTCATAATGCTCTTTAAAAATTTCCATTGTTAATAGATGACAGCTGACTGAAGACTAAAGACAGATGACAGAAGACTAAAAACAACACAAGTTTTTTATTAAACTTTTATGCTTTTATATCAATTTATTCTGATTTTAATAATATTACAAGTTACATAATTAGTGTGAAGGATGTGATTGTAACAAGTGTGTTATAACTCAGGACAATATTAGATGAAATAATATATCTTGTAAGTGGCTTCACAACAATTTTCATGGGGGAAAGGGGCAGGTAGAGAATTTCCATTCATTCATTAATTTTGCTTTAAATTTTTAAGAGTATTTTTTAAAATTTTATTTTATTTGAAAATGTCCTAACAATTTGTCTGGAATGTAATTGGCTAAAAAAAAATTTATATCAACACACATGGCATACCAGTATATCAAGAAAGTAATATCAGAGATAGTTAACTATTATATTTTCATTTGTGATTCGGTACTTGAAGTAGTTTTGTTCAATTTACTTTGTCAGTTTTGATTATTAGTGTCCTAGCTTTATTGTTTCTTCAATTAAAATTTCCTAGTAGTATTATCCAATTTAGTTTCCACTCTGAGCACCTGTGTAAAAAATGTTATAGCAACAAAAAAACCCAAACCCAACAACTTATGAATTTAGGATCATAAACCCAGCTAGAAGGGACCTTGGAGGTCATCACTAACTCTTTCCTTTTACAGATGAGGAATTTCAGATTGATAGAAGTTAAGTAATTTGCCCAAGGTCAAATAGGTAGAAATAATAGAAATAAGATTTTAATGTCATCACTGAACTGATATTGTTTTTTCCAAAGGTAACAAATGAATGCTTAGTTACTAAATCTAATAGTAAGAATAACAATAGCAATAATAACTAGAATGTATAGTGCTTTTGGCTTACAAAGCACATTATCTCAGTCCATTCTTAAGGCAATCTTAAGAGGTTGAGAATGCCAGTATTTCTATCATCATGTGACATATGAAGGAAATCGAGGACCACAAATGTTAAGGGCCATGAACAAAACTGTATAGGCATCAAGTCACGGAGGTGGGCCTCGGGCTTACTGACTAGAGTCAAATTTAGATTCAGTATTAGTCAGTGCTTGGAACATTAGAGTAAGGGTTCTTAACCTAGAGTCTATGATTTTTAAAAATATATTTTGATAAATGTATTTCAATAAAATTGTTTTTCCTTTGCATTCTTATTTATTTTATTTTATACCTTTGAGAACACTACGTATATGCATCATAGCCTTCACCACACTGTGAAAGAGGTCCATGATGCTAAAAACGGTTAAGAACCTCCACTTTAGGGAAAACTTTCCACTATAATGTCTCTTTTGTCACAAAGTATCTATAAAGTACCTACTTTAGTTCAACAAATATTTATTAATTACCTCTAATATGCCTTAAAGAACTTTGATAGATATAAGCACATGTGAAATTTAGATAAGACAGTCTCTTTTCCCTAATGGAACTCAAAGTCCAGTAGGGAGAAATGAAGTATACACAGATAGTTATAATTTACAACATGACACAATAAATACATTAGAGATGTAAAAGTTACTTCTTTTGTGCCAGCATTTCTTTCCCTAAGATTCCAAATCAAGGGAGAACAATAATATTGTAGATTTTCTTTAGATTTTCTTTCAGTTACCACATCCTATCTAGTTAGGGAGTTGATAATTAACTAGCTATGCTAAGGTACAAAGACGAGTGAAACAGCAGATGTCTTCAAGTAGCTCACATTCTAATGGGGAAGACACACACACATGTATAGTATATGTATATATGTATATTGGGTATGCATATTATATATGTGTATATAAGTATGTATACGTGTATGTATATGACATGTATATGAGTATATATTGTGTAAGGATATGTACATGTAAGAATGAATATGATATACAAGCACGTATATATGTGTGTATATACATAGAAGTATGTGTATATATGGAATTATTTATATAATATATATGTAAGTATGCCTGTATACAAGGGGCAGCGAGGTGGCACAGTGGATAGAGCACCAGGCCTGGAATCAGAAAAATCTGAGTTCAAATCCAGTCTCAGACACTTACTAGCTGGATGACCCTGGCCAAGTCACTTAACCCTGTTTGCCTTAGTGTCCTCGTCTATAAAGTGAGCTGGAAAAGGAAATGGCAAACCATCCCAGTATCTTTGCCAAGAAAACCCCAAATGGGGTCACAAAGAGTCAGACATGACTGTAAATAATGAAACACAACAACATACATGCAAGTATATATGACACACATCATACATGTATATATGTATATATATTTGCAAGCATGTATATATGTATATATGTACGTATGTATGTATCTCTCTAAATACATACATATACATGTATATATACGTACACACACACACACACAAGAATTCAAGGTAGTTTTGGGAAAGAGCACCCTAACTTCTGGGGTGATCAGAAAAATACTTCCTGGAAAAGATGTCATTTGAATTGAATCTTGAAAGAAATCAGAATTCCAAGAAGCCAATGTAAAGAAGGAGTCCATCTCAGGCATGGGGGACAGTTAGTGTAAAGACATGGAGCTGAGAGATAGAATGTAACGTGCATGGACAGGAAGTAGGCCACTAGGACTGCATTGTAGAGTGGTAGGCAGACTGGAAAAGTGGGAAGAAACCTGGTAGTGAACAGATTTAAATGTCAGATAGAGTTTATATTAGCTCCTAGAAGTAAAAGGGTGTCACGAAAGTTTACTGAGTTATGGGAGTAATATGATCAGATCTGCACTTTGGGAAAATCACTTTGGAGAATGGATAGAGTGAGAGAAAAGTTTGGGGTAGGGAGCCCCAAAATGAGACCATTTCAATAATTCAGTCAAGAAGTGATGAGGGAGTAGGGCCAAGATGGTGGAGAAAAGGCAGCAACTCCCCTGACGTTTCCGCCAAACCCCTCCAAACATCTTTAAATAATGCCATAAATCAATTCCTGGAGGAGCAGAACCCACAAAAGAATAGGGTGAAATAATTTTCCAGTCAAAGACTACTTAAAAGGTCAGCAGGAAAGGTCTGTCACATGGGAGTGAGAATGGAGCACAATCCAGTGCAGGCCATGTCAGCACAGACCAGGTTCTAGCAATCCAGAAGCAGACCTTGGAAGCCATTGAATCAGCAGCAACAGTGGCAGCTTCCAGAGCTCTCAGCCTAGAGATGGTAATGGAGTTGAAAAACTAATCAGAAGGAGATTACAGGGGTCTCTTTATTGGCACTGGGGGAAGGACTCTATTGCCTTGTCCATACTCAGATCTGGGTCACAGTCCTGAGTTGCAATCCTAGGGTGATGAGGAGCACTAGTACACCACTGCTTGCAGTGGCAGTAGGGCAGGGGCCCTCATCATAGTTTCAGGACAGAAAAGAGAGATTGTGGTCACTTACAGACTACAGGACAGGCCAGGAGAATATCACACGCACCTCTCCTTAGATCATACCACTTTGGAAGAACTGAAAACTTACAGGTCCCTAGAAGTATCTTTGAAAACAGCTTCACAAAACCCCTGAGGCTTGGGACAGTGCATCCTCCACCCTGGAAGCAGAGCCCCACTTTAGCAAAGAGTTAAAAGTCAAGAAATAGACTGGAAAGATGGACAAACAACAGAAAAAAATTCTGACCATAGAAAGATGCCATGGTGACAATGAAGATCAAAACACACACTCAGAAGAAGATAACAAAGTCAAAACTCCTACAGCCAAAGCCTCCAAGAAAAATATGAATTAGTCCCAGGTCATGGAAGAACTCAAAAAGGATTTTGAAAATCAAGTAAAAGAGGCAGAAGAAAAATTGGGACGAGAAATGAGAGTGATGTGAGAAAATCATGAAAAACAAGTCAACATCTTGGTAAAAAAGACACAAAAAGTACTGAAGAAAATATCACCTTAAAAAATAGAGTAGGCCAAATGGTAAAAGAGGTCCAAAAAGTCAATGAGGAGAAGAATGTTTTAAAAAGCAGAATCGGTCAAATGGAAAAGGAGGTCCAAAAGCTCCCTGAAGAAAATAATTCCTTAAAAATTAGAATGGAGCAAATGGAAGTTAATGACTTTATGAGAAATCAAGAAACAATAAAATAAAACCAAAAGAATGAAAAAATAGAAGACAATGTGAAACTTCTCATTGGAAAAACAACTGATC